GAAGCTTATCTTTTATGTGACTAAGCAGGAGGAAGGATTCTGCGAACTCTATTATTAGTAATAAATCTATTTTAATTTAAAAGTAGATCTGTTAGTATGTCTAACAACCTTGACACATATGTCTAAATTAAATATTATTGTTCAGGAGAGAGATTTATCACACTACAGTTTTGCTCCCAGATTTCTACGTATTTGAAATTGGTTCTGCTGGCTATTACTGCCACCACCATTTCCAACAGTCACGCAGCAGGGCTGTTTCCAAGAACCAGAAGTGGAGAGTGGGTTTAGCTGCAGTACATGATTTCAGTAACTAATTCAGGGAGTTTGTGACTCCCAGTCTGAGTGTGCAGAGGATTCTTATGAAGTCTGTGATAGAGATGCAGTCTGTTATAGAGCATGGTATCCTTGCAAGCTCTTTGGATTGCTCCAGGTATTGTTAATGGGGAATCATATTCTGTCTGCCTTCAGATACACAAATCTGAAGCAGAATCTCACCCTGCTTTTGACAGGATATATGTGCATACATTTAAAGTAAATTTTGGTCTTTGTATTTTCCTGGGTTTCAGCTCTGTCTGACTCAATAGGATCCCAATCTGTCAGTGCTAGAGTTAAGAGAGTGTTATATAGTTCTTATACTACCACTCTACTCAGAGGACCTATCTGAAATTGTCACATTCTTGCTTATCATTTCTGTTGTCTGTAATCCTGTAATTACAGGTCAGGGCTGCTTCCTTCCAGGGTAGAGGTAAGTTTCTGTTGCTGCTTATTCCCCATAGCTTTGCACAGCCACTTTTACTCCAAGAGTGAAATAGATTCTGTCCATCTCCACCTATCATTAGCATTGCTCTTCTGTCTTTCAGTGCTGTTTTCTCTTCACTGGTGATGTCAGAATTGTTTAAGTTGTTATTTTGAATTTCAAATCCCACCTGAACTTGTCAGAAGAGCAAAATAAATGGGATTTTGAAAAACTGTTCCCTGTGTAATACTGAAAAAAAAACAACTATTATCACTGCTGGGATAGTATTTGTTAAGTGTATTATTTTCTGCATCACTCCAAGTTTGGAAGTGTTGTAAAAAAGATCTTTACGGCTTTCAGCTTTTGCCTGTGAAAGGCACAGTGCCTATTTCCAGCTCTTATTTGAATCATAAAACCTCATCAAAGGTTTGGAGACAAGGGCAGATTTTCAGCTTTCTCAGAAAGAAAAGTTTATCTGAATTAGTTTGTATTACCAAGAGCAAACTTTACTTTCCCTTCAAGTTATTTGTGGTGCAGGATTCTTTGCACTGTAGCTGTGCTTACTTTGACACACAGTGTTTTCTTTAGGTCTAGCTCATAATACTTCAGTCAGTTCAGTGCTTCAAGATTTGCCTTTTTTTTTTTTTTTTTGGTGGAGGGGTGGGGAGAGGCTCTATAATCAGTCTACATTCAAAACACAGATCATAAAAAAGGAAGCTAAAGTCTGGTTTGCATTGTTAGGAGCCTCAAAATAAAATATCACAAGTTTTTTCTTTCTTTAATAGTGGATGAAAGATTAGTCTATGGGACAGTTCTATGCTGTGTTTCATTTCATACAGTGTTTCTCAGAGAGCAGTGTTATTCTATTATCCCTAATGACTGCAGTGTGATGAGTTGCAGTGCTGGTTTTTAAAAGGTTTCACTTTTTCTTTTCCTTTTTTCTCCCATTTTTGTTCTGAAGGTTACATTATGCAAAATGCGATGGCATTTTTTAGTGCACCAGTCCAGGCTGTATACAAATAGTTTTAATCCTTTAATGAAAATTGGAATAGCTCTGGTTTGGGGAGGAGGCTTTCGGTCTGTTTCAACTATTCCTATCTGCTGTAATGAACTGCTGTTTATTTCTCTGTCTGAAGAGGTATAGGTCATGTGGCTTGACTTTAAAATAGTCTGAGTTGGTCATTCTTGCATGCTCTTGCATTAGTAATTTGATTTAGATATTCACCATGAATTGCAAACCACTAAGAATTTAAATGACCAAAAGGTAGTTTGGTTGTTGAAATAATTTTGAAGATGAGAGAGTTGTTGCTACTTTATGCTAAGTGTGAGAAAAGTCAGGATAAAAACGAGGAAGGTACAAAGAGAAGAAAGGGCAGACTCCTTATTTTATTACAATGGATTTGCATTATGGATAAGAATGAATAAGCAAGTTGAATTAAATACATTATTCAAAACTGCTGTTTTGGCTTGATTAAAACTCTGCTCTACCAATCATTCTCATTATTGTGTCACTTTCTTTTTTCCCCTCCTGTTATTTTCTGATGAGGTAAAGCACTGTGTATTGTAATGACTTCATAATGTTCCCTACAGAGCTTTTATCCTGTCTGGCTCCAGCCTTTGGCCCCTTTTGGGTTATTTGCTGCACCCAGAAATCCTACTGAAGATGTGTCAGAATTGAGAATGCTCAGCTCCACCATCAGTGTGAAAAGACGCTTTGTGGAGGATAGCACAGGAGTGGCTTTTTCTCTGTGTTGAACCCCCTAGTCTAACAGAAGCTGGTAGGAAGAATGTGTTTAGTGCAGGGAAAGGTATTAGAAGACTTAGTAGTCAGCCAGGTTAGAATTTACCACTGTTCTTTGTGCACTTAAACCTTGGTTGTATATCTCTGCTCCTGCCTTTTAATCTGTGAAGTACTGAAATTCTTCTAAAACTCATGACTATAATATACACATAGATATGGAAATAATGAAGGTATTAAACAGAACAACAAACCTCCCACCAAAAAACATAACCAATCAAAAAACATGCACTGTCATTTTTTTTTTCTGGTCTCACTCTGCCCTTCCTGATGTTTTCCCCCAGATAATTGATCTTACATTGATAGTGGAATAGGGCGAAATTGCTTTGATTTTCCTCCAAATTTTAAGATGCTGTATATGGACTGCCAAGAGATGTTTATTGTTTTGGTTTTTGTTTGGTTTTGGTTTTTTCTCTTCTAACAATATATGCTTCTGTTGCTTGCTCCATTTGCATTTACTATCAACAAACATATATTCCTCAGCAGGTTTTGTTAAAAGCTGGAAGACTTTCATTGAGGGAGCAGAAGCATTCTTTTCCCCTGTTTTCTTTTGAAGCATCTGTAGTGAACTCACACTGAAAACGATGTATTTTCAACAGCAATTTTATGGGTACCCATGTAGTGACTGAAGAAAGAACCTAGTACCAAAACTTAGTTCTTTTTCTCTGACAGCCTAGTATATATGAATGGTCAAAATGTGAAATTAACGGATCTTGAATGAATTGACCAGGAAGAGGTAGGACTTCCTTAGTGTTTATAGGAGTAACTTGCCCTTACTTTTTTTCTTTGAAGATATTTACAGGGTTTTGTTTTTTTTCTAGAAATGACAGTAAAGCATTATTAGATAGGGCAGTAAGCATACTAATGAGAAGACTCTGTAACTTCAGTGTTTCCTAAATGTCTTGTGGAAAGGATTGCTGGAGTCAATTTTGAGTGAATTTTGAGCCTCTCTCATGCAACTGTACTTTTCTGCTACTAATGTGCTCTTATTTAAGATGTTTTAGGAGAAAGAATGAGGTCTGTCAAATGAAAGAGTTCTCTGTCTTATCAAACAGAAGAATGTATAAGAAGTTTTTCAAACACTTACTGACAGTCTAAATACCAACTATGGAAGGCCAGTGACCTTCATACCGGGGAAACAGGATTTTGAGAACTGTTGGTCAGCAAGTCTCTCTTGAATATCCTGGAAAGATGTAGCTGCTGGTGCTGTCAGGTCATGCACTGTCTGCATGTGCTGTAGGCACTCCATCTATCAGCTTGGGTCCCATTTTGGAGTTCTGTCTGCTCCATCTTGGGATTTATGATTTGAACTAAATGAGCTAAATCATTTGAGTTTATGAGCTACATAATTTGGTCAAACTTTCAGCTTGAAGAAGGCTTGTACAGTTGGATGTGGTGCAGTGGGCTCATTTTTCTACTGGTGCGGGAGCAGGCTCTCCACATGCAGCTGGCCAGTCAGCTGTACTTAACACACAGGGGGAAATCCTTCTTTCTCTGAGGAGTCCATATAAATCACCAGTCTCTAGCAGGGATAGGGGGAGGGCTGTTGCCAGGTAGAGAGGGAGAGGAGAAAGGCTAGAAACCTCTCAGCTGCTGCGCTAAATCCACACCTGCCTCTGTGTGGAGTGTATGCAGGGTATATTAGTTTGACTGTTGGTAGATTCCAAATTGGCATACTTTTCTAAATTACTACAGAGTTGCTTGGGATTGGGAGGAGATTAAAAATTGTTTTTTTTTCTACACATTTAGGTGACGTGATGGGAACACAGTTAATAAAATGCTGCTAAGAACTGTGTTTTGGTTCATATTCAGCTCAGAGTCATATCATTATGTGAAATTTATCAGCAAAAGATTTATTGATGGTACAGATGTTTCAACATCTAAAAGTCATGCTCAACAAGATAATTTTACTCGGCTTGGTGAAATCTGGAGGCACAGATATGTTTCTAAATGTTTTTTTTGAAAGTGGTCCTGAAAATGTTTGGGTTTTAACATGAAGATAAAATAGTATTTTATTTATAAAGCATTGTTGAAGAGAAGAAAGAATTAAGTTTCATAAAGGGATTAAGGTGTTAACCCAGGATACAGAATATGTCTTTGTTTCTCTTTAGATTTCCGCTGCTACCTTTCATTGAGCCTGTCCTGTTTGGTTTGAACTCTTCCACTAGAAAATGAAATACTGCTGCCCTAATTCTGCTTCACTTTTTTAGGATAAATTGGTTGATGATTATTAAAGCTTGCAGTACTGTGTAATGGTATGTAAAGCGGAAGCTGTCTGCTCACCCACCAGACTGGCATAACCTTCCTAGAAAGGCACTAGTTACAAGTAAGCAGCAGACACAGTATTTCAGCAGAAATAGTCAAGAACGTCAGTTATGTAGAAATATATTTTCTTCTATCAACTGTGTGTAATCAAGAAAAGATTGGAACAAGACAAATTAACAAGCTCTTCTGTTTCCTTCCTAGAATTACAACAACAGCTGCTTGTATGATGGACCTACGGAGATATCCGCTGGATGAGCAGAACTGCACGCTGGAGATTGAAAGCTGTAAGTACTTCTGCAAATCCTACTTATTCTGTGGTCAACTGCTTCAGAGTTTTTTATTTCTGTCATACTTTTTTTTTTCCCTTTTTTAACATGCTACTAACCCAGTTCTTTCTGATGACATTTAGATCCGTGTAAACACATGCAACAAAATAGCTTTCCCGATGGATTAGTAATTTGTGGCGCAAGGATTAGCAAAAGTTATTCTGTATTTTGATGGAAAATTTACAGCTTTAAAAGTCTCATTTAAATACCTTATTCGAGTTCATGTGAGGAGTACAAGGATTACTATTGGTTCTTTATCCTTCTTTACCTCTAAACTGTGTGGCAGCTTGTTTCCATTTAAAAATGGCGGTAAGAGGTTAGAATTGTTCTTGAAACAGGTGGTTTGTGGTTAGTTCATTTATTTTTTTTCTAGATCCTATGCTATAGTTAAACTTCCAATGCACACAACACTGTATTATATAGACTGATTTAATAGCTGGTGTCTCTGCACAACTTTCTATGTAGATAAAACCCGTGAAATAAAATTTCAAATCTCTTTTCACTGAAAAACTTCAGAAAATCTAAGTACATCTGAGAAAAAACATTATTTGGCCCTCCAATTAAGATTGTATCAGCACTTTCAAGATGTATTTCCTTTTTCAGGACAACCATAACTAGTTCAGCTAGGGCGTATTATTGAGTGTGGCAAGCAAAATGGAAATTAATGGCATGTTTTAAGATGCAGAACACAAAAGTATGTGTATTTTTAAAGTAACCTCTGTATTATAAATGATTATGTGGGATTTCAGTGTGCACTGAAGTACAAAATGACAGTAGCTTGTGCTGGTAAGAACTTGGTACGGCTTAGCTTCTATTCTATGCTATATGCTTTAAATTTGTGTCCAGGTTTCATTTTAGAGTAATTTAAAGATATGGCAAAATCCTTTCATGAATTAAACTTGTGATACTGCTGTTTGAAATAATTTGCATGCATAAAATAAGAGAACTGCGTCTTTATCATTGAAGTTCAGCCCTTTCCGTATGCTGAAATACACAAGCAGCAAATGTGGACTTAGCTCTTTGAGGAATTGATAAAATCCTGGTTGGTTGTTGGTTTGATGTTTTTCTGTTTGTTTGGGGGGGTTTGGGGTTTTTTGATTGTTTTTCCACAGCTAATTTTTTAAATTCTATAGATAGCATTTGATTTAAATTTCTTACCTGCAGTCTTTTACCGGTATAGTTGGCTCATTTTAATGTGGGACAAAGCTATTGGTGTAACTGAGAAAGTTGGCTTCCTATGCTGGTGTCTTTTAACTGTTGTTGCAAGACAATTTGTCTGTTTTCCAGTTTTGTGTGAAAGATGGAAAGCTGGAGAATCATCCTTTCTATTTACAGAATTGTTTAAACAGTCAACAAAGTCTTGCCATGTCTCTGCATTGTTGAGATGCCTGAATCTTCTTGGGATTCACAAACTAGATATCCCCCACCTGTCATGCTTGTAGGACACAGTCTGGGAAGTATTCCCAGGAAATACCTCCCAGGTCAGTCCTTATGCAAACCTGAAAATGAAACTATCTTCCTGCTATTCAATGAGAACACTTTTTCTCCTTCAGACTTAGAATGTGGGGACCTCTAGGTTGACATTTCCCTTTGATCTGATTTGGAGTAGAAGTTTGTACATTAAGTTCTCTTTCATGAAATGATCCTGGTAAACAGGATATTGAGCTCTTGAAATTGTTGTTGCACGTGGCATGAAGAGCACAGTACTCATTGTATGATAGAAGAGTAGGAGTTTAATTTACCATAATGGTCAGGATGGTTGCAGGAGAGCTCCTTTATGGCTCTATTAGCTCTGTTGCAGCATCACAAATGTAAAATGGGTTAAGATCAGGATACTGTATGTAGTTAGTCTGGCTTTCATTGCAGTAAGAAAAGCCATTAAAGAATGTAGGTAGAAGTAATACTTGAACTGTGTTTTGAAACACTTTCATGCTGCTTTAGGAAATTCTTGCTCTTCATTTATGTCATTATTTTCAGGTAAAAAACTGAGTCTGTCTATATAAACCACTTTAGATAAAAATGCTGGCAGGTAGATAAGCAGAGTGAGTGAAATTGAAAGTGACTTTGAGTTGTTCAATGCAGATACTCCAGTCACAATCACTTCTTTAAACTGGTTAAGCTGCATGCTAGAAGTAGGTTGGTTTCTTGCCCTACCGATCTGTTTGGATGTCTGCTTCACCACTGCTCTCTTGCGGCGATTCAAAATTGTTCTACCCCAAGTGTTTTCATGGCTATCAAGGCATGAAATTATGTTCACTGCTTGTGTCAACAATTCTTTTTTTTTTTTCTTTTTTTAGTTTGTTGCTTTCCTCAGCTCTGGGGGGACCCTCATAGTACATTTAAAGAAAGCGGTCATAGTTTCTCATAGGCTTAATTTCATGAACATGAATATGCCAGTCTCTTTTAGCCTCCCCATACAAGAATGTGCTCAGAGAAATGCAGAATTAGCTAATGTTAGTTCTTCACTAGGAATAACTAGTATCATAAACAGTGTCCTAGGTGAAATCTTTATTACATTGTGCTTTTTTCCAAGAGTCACCTTTGCCTTTCTTCACAACTACGTAACTTTCACAGATGATAGTCTTTCCTGGAACAGTACAATAAGGTATTTCTCTTACTCATTTTCCAGCAGTGGATTCTACGTTTTGGTAGAGTGGGGTTTTTTGCATAGTACTAAAAACACACGACTTGGCATTTTATAACACTGTTCTTAATATTGTTACACTCCTCACAGTTATCCAGTTCTTGTTATATTTGTTCTGATCATTCATTGCCTTAATAATGGCTGCAGATTTTGTTTCATTAGAAATTCTATTAACACATAAATACTAAAGAATACTAATGCCAAGGAGGAAAAGCTTTGCTTATAATCGTTCTGTGCATTGAGCATGATCTATTCTTTCACTGCAGTACAATTCCCTGCACACCTTTTATATGTCTTTACTAACTGTCTGTTCTTGTCCTATGGCAAATGTTTTTACTAAAGTCCAGGTTAGGTATACTTTGTTTAAAAAGGAGTTATTGTCTAACCAGAGACTTTGAGTTAAGTCATGATAGACTTATCATAACTCCATACATGTTAGTGTCTTAAATGTCCTTCTGTTCTTTCTCTGCTTCCTCCTGCCTTTCCATGTACCCCTACCCCCATTACTGATGCCAGAGTTGATTGCCTTCTTAGCTGTCTGGGTTACTTTTTCCATGTGTCATTGCATTTATTGAAGTTTTTGTTAATGTAGGTTTGCATAAATCTAGATTAATTAATTTTAAAATTAGAAATTATGTGGAAAAGGGTTGTATGTAAAATATAAAAAACGAAACGTGGGAGATGGTATCATCTATTAAGATACAAGAAGTTGTCTTTCATATTTCAGTTTAAGGTAGTATTAGTGAGATCAGATGCTGGAAGTGTGAGATGACTATTCCCCATTTGTTCAAAGGGTATCAGCTTTGGAGAGCTGAAATCCTATTTTTTCTGGTATACCTAGTTAAATCCCTGTGATCATTTTTTGCTTTGCTCATCCTTAAAGGGCAGAAAGGTGTTAAATGTTCAGTTTTGCTATGATGCTTCTAAACCTGTAGGCCATCTTTTCCAAGGGGTCTAATCTGAGCTATTCTGCTCCTTTTCTTTTGTTATTTCCCAATACACTGAATAGCAGGGTTATAATACTGAAGGGAAATCAATTTTCCTATGTATTCATTTCTTAGTTTCCCAACTTGCAGGCAACAGAGAGCTTTTTCCTTTTTAGCTGAATATTGACTTGACTCAGTAAAATACCTCTGCTTTCTGCTCCCTACCTCTGCCACTGCTGTTTCCTGCCTCTCTGGAGTTCTAACTGTTGAAAGGAATGTCTTAGCTAATCAACCATGAGACTCAGGGGAGCTCAAAGGCACAAAGAAGAACAAGGGAGTTTGAAGAATACTTCCAACTCCTATAAACAAATAACAATCATACTGCGTATTCTCTAGCATAGCAGAGAGAAGTGATTGTGATTCTTTCAAATATTTTTTAATGTAATCCTCCAAGATTCATTTTTGATAGGTTTGGACCTTTGTCCATTTCAATTACATGATGCCACACAAAGATAAAACAGTTACTTCAGTTCCGTCTTATATCATAATGTGTTTGGCATAGTTATATTTGTGTTATACTGAAGTATAATTCAGAAACTGACTGCCTTATGGCAGTGACAGGGTTTTTTTCTCCTCCATTCCTTTGTTGCTGTGGAACAAACAAGAGCACACGGAGTTTCTTCTTAGAAGCATATTCTAAAAAATGTTTTCCATAGTGTATTAAAGATGTGGCGTAAAAAATAAAAGTGTTAAAGCCCTGCTGTCTGAAGCTTTAGCAAGCAGGGAGCTTGCCACTCAGATGTACTGTCCAGGGAAAAAGGGCAGTCAGAACAGCATGCACAGACATGGAGGAAGGACTGCTCTGCTGATGAATGAGAAATAATTGTTTTCAGAAGATGTCATTTATATAACTGCCTGGGGTGTTTGCATCAGAAATCATTAGATTTATTTTTTTTCATGACAGAAAGGCTACAAAAGCACACTAAGTTAAAAAGCTTCCATGAGATAACAGAATCTAGAAAAAAGATGGAAGGAACAGGTACAAAAGTGTATCATTCCTCCCAGTAGCAGTGCAGCCCAGTATCAAATGTTTTCTAATCAGATCATCTGAGAGCTCATCAACACGAGAAGCAGAAGTCATCTTTGTGTGCTCAAGGTGACTTTACAAGCACATTTAAGGCAGTGAAAAGAAATCAAAGATGCCTTTTGCTAAAGCCTTGAGTACTTTGCAGATGGCTGCTCTGGCCATTGATCAAAGCTATAATCAGGTCACACAGGACAAATGGTAGAACTCCGGGAGCCAACAAGGAAAGGCTTTTCTGGGTTAGAGGCGAATGTGTTTGATGCCAGGAAAGAGACTCTGCCAATCCCCTGGGAGTGGGTGCTCA